CCTGCCAGCGTCCGCGCCTCGGGAGCGGCCGGACGGAAGAGAAGGTTCGCCAGACGCCGGTCGGCTGCCCGACCTTTCGGACTCAAAGCCGAACTGAACAGCCGCGGCTTCTGGTTGGTCGGGGAGGCGCTGCGGCCACCTCAGGAAGATGTTTAACGTGGAGTCCGTGGAGCGGGTGGAGCTGTGCGAGAGCCTGCTCACTTGGGTACGTGCTGGGGCAGCGGGCCGGTGGGAAAACTCCGCAACCTTTTCCCCCCCGGACACCGGTGCTCGTCCCGAGGGGCCAGCGCCCGGGGCGACCTGCCGTCACATCCGGGGCTTGGGACGGGCGGAGCTGAGGACCCGGTGCGGGCCGCGTCTGCACCCGCGGCCGGGTCAGGGTCAGCAGGGAGCGGCCGGGCTCGGGCAGACTGGGCCCAGGGTCCAGGAGGAACTTGTCCGGCTCGAGCTGTTGGCTGCTGTCCGAGAGGAAACCTACCCGGTGGGGGCTAATGAAGGGGTGCGGGCGACACTGTAATTAGGACTGTTTGCCGTGCTGAGACGCTGGCGCTTCGCTCTCGAGCTCCCAGTGATCCAAAGCGTCGGTTCTGCCTGGGCGCCCGGTAGAGGCGCTCGGGACCCCTGGTTACGATGCTGCTCGCCTTTGTTGTAGCGTTCAGCCAGGATGGAGCGCAGCCCCTTGGGGATGAAGCCCTGCCCATTGGAAAATAGTACATTAGAGGGTGGGTAGACAGAACATGAAGAATCACCCAGAGGCAGAACATTTGAAATGCGAGATGCATTTTTGACTGTTAGAAAGTAAACGATGTGATGCTACTTATAAAAGGAATCGAGGATAAACAATTTTAAGCCGGGGGAGGCGATTTAGGGATTAGTAATGGGACTGAAATACATTTTTAAAAAGCAACGTGAGATTCTAATTTGGAAGTGATAAGGGTTAAGGTTATCGAATCTTAAAGTAAATACTTTGGATTTTAATGTCAATAGTCAGTCATTGCTTAAGAGGCCCTTTTCAATAGCTGGGCGGTTAACCCGTGTTTGTTTCTGTTTTTGCGTAAGCTGATTGGAAGTGGGTACAGGCATATGCAGAGCCATGGGATAAACCAAGTATCCCACTGAGAACATTCGCGTTACTTATGGCTAAAACAGAGTAACTGTCCTTTTTAGAAGAACACAGATCTATTGACAGAGGTTACTATGGCGAGTGTTAATTTTGTTTGCTTATTGGGGGAGCTGATGGTGATTGGCCCTCCTGCGTGCTAAGTGAAGGCTCTAGTACTGAGCTCTTCACCTCCGCATTTGTTCATTTTAAAGGTAACATGCAAATATCGAAAGAAATTCTATTGAACAGAGTCTTAGGTTAGAGGGCCCGATCTCTGGAAGTCAGCTGTCCCGTTTTGTGCAGGGACACTGCTGAGGAGTTTGGGAACTGTTGACTTAGGTTGATTGTCATATATGTAATTAAGGTAGAACCTAAAGATGTGCGTGCGTTTGAGGTAGGATCTTGCTATGTAGTCCGTTTGGGCCTCGAACTATATATTCTTGAATTTGCAGCAATCTTCCTGTCTCAGCTTCCTGAGTACTAGGATTATACGCCTGCATCACTACACCCAGCTTGAAGTTTTTTATAGTCTGGGTATGTCATGAATCCAGTTTTGTCCTTTGAAACATAGACCATACAATGCAGAGTTCTACGATTTGGTTTGGTGTTAGAGCATTCTTGCAATTTCAGGATGTTTGCAATAGTGCATAGTTAGCATGCTCTAAGTTCTAACTTCAGACAGGAAGATGAGCGTCACCGCTGTGCTCCAGGTAGAGGATGGTGATAAGTTGTACACTCACCTAAGCCTCAGCCAACCTTCAAGTTATTATTTAAACCAGGAAGACTCGAAAAGATGGAAAGTGTTTGGCTTTGGTTTGGTTTGGTTGGGTTTGGTGTAAGACAGGGTTTCATTTTGTAGTCCTGGCTGTTCTAGAACTTGCTCTGTAGACCAGGCTGTCCTCAAACTCACAAAGATCTGCCTGCCTCTGCCTCCCAAGTGGTGGGGTTAAAGGCTTGCGCCACCACCTCCTGGTATGAAAAAAAGATGGAAAATGTTTTATACACAGTCAGTATATAGCAATCAGAGTGTGCTTAAAACTTAGCCCTTATCTCCTTTTCCTACCCCCTGAACCTGAAGCAAAATATATCCCTACCTGATAGAATATATATGTATGTATGTATATGTGTGTATGTATATATGTGCTATTATATCTGTCAGTCTCTTTTAAAAAGTTCTTATCATGTGTGTGACTGTGATGTGTGCATTGATTGATATAGGCACAATTGCCTATATCATGATTGATATAGGCACAATTGCCACCACATGCATATGGAGGTCAGGAGTCAACTTTTGGAATTGGTTCCCTTCCATGTTTTTCCAAGCAACAAACTCAGGTTGCAAGTTACCAGACTGCTGTGGTAAGCATCCTCACCCACTGAACCATTTCAGTAGCCTTTGCTTGTTTTTACCAATAATAATTCCACGTTTTAAATTTTTAGTATTTCTGTGTGTGGGTGTGCACACAGATGTATCATATCCCTTTCACGGAAGGCATTTAATAATTTAGAGGAGTCGGTTCTTATTATTTGAGAATTTTATATATGTATTAATGTTTTTTGATTAGATTTACTCCTCCCCCTGAGCTCTGTATTGCACCACCACTTGTCCCTTCCAAGCTCATATACTGTTTTTTTTCTTTTTTAACCTATTGAATCTATTTAATGTTATATATGTGAATATAGAACCATCTACTGGAGCGTGGACAACCTAGGGACTGCGCCCTGAGGAGACAGACTGACCCTCCCTCCTGCAGCAGCTGTGCATTGCCAGTAGTTTCTCAGAAGCATGACCTCTTCTCCGTTCATTTAGAATTTTGGCCAACTGGATCTTGTGCAGGTCTTGGACATACAGCCACAGCATAGCCATTGTAGAGTCTTAAGTGCACCATCTCTGTCATATCCAGAAAACATTTTTTTTTACAGCTGTTCTCCACACATTCTGATCTTAGAGTCTTTCTGTCTCCCACCCCACCCTGCAATGATCTCTTGAGTCTTATGAGAGGGACTGTGACACAGATGTGTCACTTAGGGTTGAACACTCCAGTTTCTATTCTCTGTACTCTGATCAGTTGTGAGTCTCCACATTAATTGCCCTCTACTACAGAATTAAGCTTCTCCAATGCAGGTTAAGAGCTGCACTATTCAGTGGGTATAAAGATAAGTGTTTAGAGGGCAGATACTATGTCCGTTTGGCAAAATAATAGTAAGTTCTCTCCTAGACTCTGACCTACCCAACCACGTGTTCTTGTCCCAGTTAACAACACAAAGCATGAATTCTGGTTTGTGGAGTGACCCTTGTGTCCAGCCGGTAAGCAATTGCTTACTTCCTTAACACTGGTGCCACTGTTGCACCACTGGGCACATTTTTGCCAGTCTGTTTGTCATTGTAACTTGCAGGGTTCACAACTGCGTAAGACGGTTGATTCTTTTCTCTCCCAGCAGCCCATATAGCACCATCCAGCACTCTGGAAACTAGCCAGTAGGGAGTGAGCTTCAAGGTCAATACCAGTTTGATTTCTCCACGACCTGTGGCTCCAGAATGTGGTGTCTCTAGCAATAGGGTCTTACTTCCAAGTTCTGGTGGGTAACCAAGGGCAGTGGCAGTAACCTGTATTGTTTTATGGACCCGTGGGATTCCCTGTGAATAGCAGCTTAAAGAGGGGAACCAAATCTGGTACTGCCCAAGCCCAGCTTCTTGATCTTTGCATCAATCAGGATGAAAAGATTGCACTCTCCCTGGTCTTAGTTAATTAATTTGTTTGTTTTATGGTGCTGAGGATTAAAGCTGGGGCCTTGTGCATGTACTGTACAACTGAGTTATATAATTCCAGTCAGTTACCCAAGAAACCTGAATGCAAGAAAAAATCTCGAAGGACTGGAGAGAGCTCCACAGTTACGACCATTTGTTGTGCTGGCAGAGGACCCTGATTTGTTTCCTAGAACCCAATCAGAGGTTCACAATCATCCACAGCCCTGGTTCAGGGGATCCAATGACCTCTTCTGACCTCCACAGGCACCAGGCATGCTTGTGGTGCACATACATACATTCAGGCAAAACAGTCACAGACTTATACCTAGTCTTAAAACATATTTAAAAGAAAGAATCTAGAATACAGTCCGATAATGACATCAGACTAGTGGGAAAAGAATCATAGTTGTGGTTCGCTTCTGTGACATGCCTCAGTCTTAGATGTCCTTATTTTTATATGGCTTGTTTGGGAGCCTCTGAAATGCAACTAACATTTAGAATCCCTCCCTTTCTGTTTTCCCACCTTTGTCTAACTCCAGCCTACCAAAAATTTGATCCTCTAATGGGAGAATAAAGACATTTCTGGTGTACAAAGGTTTAAAGCCCTTAGGGGAAAAGTCTGAGTAGCACGGTGTTGCTGGCTCCTGTGGCGGTTCTTCTACGTTATCATTGATCAACATCACCTGGAACCTTTATCAAACCAGTTTTCTAGGCCCTGGGGCCAGAGTTTCTAGGTCTGAGACAGGATCTGAAATTTGCATTCCTGTATAGTCCCAGGTGATATGTAGTTAGGAACCTCAAGACAACAGTTGAGAACTGTTGTGCTAGAGCAGGTTTTAAGCTCACCACTGTTTGATATTTTTGGACTGAGTAATTGTTAGGGGCACTGTTGTGTGTATTTTAGGGTATTTAATAGAGGCATTGCTGATTATGAAATAACAGTACTTACGTCACTATTCAGACTCTCTTGGGGAGCAAAAAAATCCCTTGTGGAGAGAACCACTGCCTAAAGTTGTGATTCTGCATGATCTCATGCTTTACTCTTCTGATGCTTTTGTGGGAGGAGGGTGGAATGTGTTCTCGGAGCTTCTTGAAATTACAAGTAAGGTTGTGGCCCTTCAGATAGAATTTATGCTTTAACACAGTTCAGTGCAATTATCTTTCAGTTTTACTGTATTACTATCCTGAAATGTCGCAACTCAGACCTGATAGGATGGTAAGTTTCTTAGTTGAGATCTCTGTCAATTCTAAAAGCAGAGTGGAACATTCTCAAGCTCTCCTAAGTACCTATGTACCTGAAGGGCTAAAACAGAAAACAGTTATTTAGAAGCTCCATCTTAAAAATCAAAGTGAAAATTTAGCTCTGAGTCCTGGGGTGGGTATACATAGTCTGTTAAATGACTCTCTAGAATTCCTTTGGACTGAGCATGTAGCCCAGTTTGTGGAGTACTTGCGCAAAGCTTGGGTTAGCAGTGTGTAACCAGATATGGTGGTGGTGCACGCCCTTAATCTCAGCAGTCCACTTATAATTCTCCCAATCAGGAAGTGGAGGCAGGAGGATTGGAGAGTTTAAGGTCATTGTTGTCTTCGATAGTGAGCTCCAGGCCAGCCTCAGATACATGAAACTCTGTCTCAAATAAATAGATAAATAAAAATTAAAAAAAAGAAAGAAAACTATTTGCTTTATTGAATTGTTTCTTCTGATTGACCAGGAGCAATTTTGTAACCCTGAGTAGGAATGTTAACTCAGTACTAGAACACTTTCCTTGCATGGACAAGACTCTTGAGTTCCATTCCCAGCCTGGGGTAGGACAGATAAGAGCTTACATTTCTTAACCTTGGTAGTACTTTAGAGGGTTCTAGATGCTAAAACTAGTGCCCAGGTACATAAGGATTATTTGATGCATTTGTTAACAGAGATTAACTTGTTTGCACAGAGCTGTAATCTCAGCTACTCAGGAGGCTGAGGCAGGAGGTTTACAAGTTGACAGTTTGTAGAAACTGCAGAGTTAGTTCAAGACTATTAGCAAGATTCTGTTTCAGACATTTAAAAGAGGGTAGAAAAGGTGGTTCCACAGTTAGGAGTACTGGCTGTTCTTCCAGAGGACCTAGGTTCAATTTCCAGCACCTACATGGTGGTTTACAGTTGTCTGTAATTCCAGTTCTAGGAGATATGATGGCCTCTGAGGGCACTGCATGCACACAGTACACATTCAAGTGTGCAAAACACTCCTAGAGAGAGGTGGAGGTAGAGAAGGAAAGAGAGAGAGAAGAAGAGAAAGAAAGAAAGAAAGAAAGAAAGAAAGAAAGAAAGAAAGAGAAATTTCAGAATTTGAAAAGATGTAGAGATATAGCTCAGCAGTAGAGTGTATGCCTAGCATTTGCAAGGTCTGGGTTCAATCCTCCAGCAACACGTGCACGCACACACACACACACACACACACACACACACACACGGTGGGGGAATAACAGAAAAAGAGAAGAAATTCTAGCTTTCTAAACACATCATACAGGATTCATTTCGGTGGAGCTAAGAAATGTGTTTCCAAAATGAAAACTTCCCAGGTGTGTAGCACAAATTCTAGCTAATTTTAATAATAAAAACACAGAGTAAGAAATAGAGAAGATCAGAGAAGCAGAGAGGCCAGCACTAGAGAGTTCTTTTACCTCTACCAGTGCTCAGACTGAAGGCGTGATCCTGTCCTCAGACTGCATCTCCAGACTCCGTCAGACTTCACTGAGCTCTTGTCTCCTGCTCCCCCTCACCTTATATTCCTCTCTCTGCCCACCATATCACTCCTGTCTCCACCTCCTCAGTGCTGGGATTAAAAGCTTGGTATTCCCAAGTGCTGGGATCACCTTTGTGTGAACTCTGTTTCTCTTAGACAGATTGAATCTTTTGTAGCCCAGGGTGGCCTTAAACTAACAGAGATCCCTCTGTCTCCCAAGTCCTGGGATTAAATGTATGTGCACCCACTGTCTAGCCTCTAGTGGCTTAGCACTCTGATCATCAGGCAAGCTTTATTTGTTAAGACATAAACAAAATGTTACTACACAGATGACTATCATGTACACCTAGACTTGGAAACTGCTGATATAAATACTCCCAATATTTATATGGAAAAAACTGATATTGAAAGAGATTAGGTAAAATATCCCAGGTTATATGATAAATTAGTAGTAAAATTAAGGATTAGAATTGATTCATGACATCCCAAGCAGTGTTCACTGAACTTAATCAGTAAGCCTCTTATTTTGAGATGTTGTACCAAGCAATTAAGATGTAATATGTGATTGTCACTGTTTCATCTTTTTTCCATGTATAAATCTACAAAAAGAGATAACTTTTAAATGGACCATTAATTTAGCACCTAGAAAGTTAAAATGGGTACTATTTTTTTTTTTAACGTACCAGTGTGGAGGCACCTGCAGGTGGAATAAAGTTTAAAATCAGACCTGAGATGTTACTTGTTTCCTTTGTGCCTGTCGTTCATTTTCTGCTCCTCACCCTCTCCCATGGAGTCTCACTATATTTCAGGGCTGGCATTGAACTTAGAATCACTCCTCTTGCATCACCCTCCTCAGTAACTGGAACTAAAAGTGTATGCTACCATGCTTGGCTTATTTGCTAACTTTTTTAAAATCCAAACTCTGTATGTATTTAAGTTAGAACCTTCTTACCTCCCAAAATTTTGTCTGACTAAAAACTGCTACCTATAAGTAGTGACAAATCCCTCAGCTCCTGCTGCCATAACCATCTTTGTCTGAATGAGTCCTGCCCTATATAAAATAGGAAGTTGTTACTGCACGGTTAGTAGTTCTCTCAGCACTTGGGAGTAGAGGCAGGAGAACCAGGAGCTCAAGGTCACCATGACCTCTGATACGTAATGAATTGAAGGGTAGCCTGGGCTACATGAGACCCCGACATTATGGATAGTATGGTACAGAGAAGCAGATAGATATACCCATTTTTAGTTGCAGTTTACTGCTTCATGGCTTATTTAGCAACGTGTATTTTAAAAAATTTAAAAATAAATATTCATTTAACCTGGCAATTTTTTTCCTAACCCAATAAATAAAAAGAAGGGTGCTCACCTGGGTGTTATCTCAGTTTTTCTGTTGTTGCTAACTAGTTTAGCCTCGTCAGTGTTACAGACTGCCACAGCAGGCTTTCCTGCCTTTCCCTCCAGCATCTCCTTCATGTTGCATCAGTTTGGTTTGTACAGTTCGGATCTCACTTTCTTGCTTTAAACCATTTTCTTACAAACTACCATTACTCTCAAGATAATTACAGATTTGGCTTATCGAGTCTTGCCTAATGATCCTTCTTTCTTTAGTTCTTTCACCTGTTTTATATTCCCTTCTGTTCCTTTCTTCCTATAATTTCCACCTATCTATACCAGGCTTCTTTTCATTCCTACAACATATCTTCTCAATTGAAATCTGTGTCCATACACCCCACAATATTTCCACCAAATTAAAAGAAATGTATCAGGATGTCTTTCATCTGTTTATCCTCAATGACTTATTTCCTGTTAAACCGGGTTGGATTGCCATTTGTCAGTTGACTGATAATTGCTGGCTGTATTTCTTTTTTGGTCTCAGGTGGCCTTGATCCCCTGAATTTCTGCCTCCACTTCCCAAGTCCTAGAATTATAAGTGTGTGCCCTTAAGTCCTTCTTGGGTTTATTTCTTAAATCTCTCTTAATCAGTACAAAGATAGTTGTGATTCAGTATATATTTGAAATTGGAATGAATTGAGTATCCAACCTAATGATGATAAATATGAATTCTATATTCGTATAAAATATTTTTGCCTTTGAGTACCAGAAGTCTCAACGTGACTAGGCTTAAAAAATAAATTAGTCTTTATAATAGGAGATCTCACATTTTTAAGTTCAGTGTTTAAAAATTATCTCAAATACTTAGTTCTTTGAATCCTTCCTCTCTGTCTTCTATTGTCCATTACATAACCCTTAAGACTTATTTCTGGGTGATGAGATGGCTCAGTCGATAAAGGTGTCTGTTACCAAGCCTCATGATCTGCATTCAGTCTGTTGGACCTACCTGGTAGAAGGAAAGAACCAGCTCCCACAAGTTGTCCTCTGACTGCCACATGTATACCGTGACACACACCTGCACTCACACATGCACATTGGTCCATACTGTTCTGGTCCTTATTAGGCTTGAGTCAGTCATCACCATCATCTTCTTGGACTGTCATCTGTGAGTAGTGTGATGAAAAGTTGGCCAATATCTACTACAATTTCTCTTGCTTATGTGGGAAAAATTGTGATTATTAAAATTTTTATCTCATTATGAAATAATCATACACACATGTGCGTGCACAACACAGACAAACACACACACACACATACACAAACCCTAAGAAATCTTAATATAGTTAACCATTGGATCTTTTCTTCCTTCAGATCCAGACCTTTAACGTGGATACACCATGCCAGACTGTGGAAGATTTAACGAATGGGGTGGTGATGTCCCAGGTTCTTCAAAAGATGTAAGAATAAATTGCTTGTCTTTTTTTTTATGGTCTTACATATAAACTTTTCTTGAATTGAAAAGGATTAAAAAAGTTAAAGTGTGCGATTTGGTTTTCTTTCTTTCTTTCTTTTGGTTTTCTATCATTGACAGGATATCTAAGATGATCTGTTCATATGTAGGTTTGTTTTCAGTTTATAGTTTTGGGTATTTCAGCCCTTGATCATTGTCCCATTGCTCTTGGGCCTCTGTCAAGGCAATACCATGGTGCCAGCATTGGCAGAGGAATCAGCTTCCCTCACAGAAGTCAAGACCAAATCAGGCTGGAGCAATGGCTTAGTGCTTAAAAGCACTTGTTCCTGCTGAGGACTCAGCTTTGGTTCCCAGCTCCCAAGTGGTGACTCACAGCCATTGGTAACTCCAGGTCCAGGGGATCCAGTGCCCCTTCTGGCGTCCGGGCACCAGGCATGCATATGGTACACATACATAAATTCAAACAAAAGGTATGATGATTAAAGTACATTTTAAAAGAAGCAAGACAGGATGTTGTAGCGGCTCTATGAAGTTCCTTCAAGGGTAAGCCTTTAGTAATCTAGCTTCCTCTTACAGAGGCCTTACTTCATAAAGGATCCACCATCTTAACAGTTACAAGTCACAAACCACCGTGCACCTTTGGGGATCATTTCAGATCTGAACTCTTAACAGAAAGTTTGTGTAAACTTGAGTTGCATGTGGAATGACAACTGTACGCAGCGATGAGAATTTTGATGGCATGTACTTAGGTATAGATTGGCAACAGTTTAGTTAGGGCAGTGCTTGTTATTCTAATTGAGGTTGATAGCCAGATTTTGCCATTATAGGACAACTTGAGAATGCTGTCTGGTAGAACACCACTCTGATCTTAGCACTGAGCTCTTCCCTGACCAACAGTGTGATAGAGCAGTTGTCGTACATTCTTTGTTCCCTATACTTTCTGCATTATTCTCTGAACTATGTAATACCTTATGTGTATTTGATTATGACCTCCTCTGTCCTGGAAACACACTATACATTTGTTAAAAGTCTATGAAGAGCCAGGAAGCTTATTTTCTTTCTTTCATCCTAGCAACTAAGATGCATAATTTTTTATTGAATCGTATAAAATTTACCGTTCTTTACAGTTTCTTTTTGTTTGTTTATTTTGTTTTGCTTTTGAAACAAGATTTCTCTGTGTAGCCCTGGCTATCCTGGAACTCACTCTGTAGACCAGGCAGAGACATGCAGATCTCTATGTGAGTTCGAGGCCAGCATGGTCTACAAGAGCTAGTTCCAACACAGGCTCCAATGGCATAGAGAAACCCTGTCTTGAAAAACCAAAAAAAATAAAATAAAATAAAAAATTAGAATTTGATGGTTTCTTCTGTGAAACTTGTGATTTGTTTACTCGTTTGTTTTGTTTGAAACAGGATTTCTTTTCTTTACATAGCCCCAGCAGTCCTGGAATTTGATATACAGGTCAGGCTGGCCTGGAACTCCAGAGATCTGCCAGCCTCTTGCTTCCTGAGTGCTGGATTAGAAACCGTGCCACCATACCTGGCAAAACCTGTGGTTCTTGATGTGCCTACATGCAAATGCTTGGGAACAGTTAATACTTTGCCCTTACCTGAATTTAGATTCCTTTTGCCTTTTATTTATTTTTTATTCTCATTGCGCATATTCCTTGTGTGTAGTGCAGTGTTATATCCATACTGAATGTGTTCCTGCCCTCATACCTCTTGTCCTGTTCTCACTACTCTCCCCCATTATTCCATAGACAGTTTTACTTGTACTTTCACGTCACTATGTACATGATTTTATTATGTGTTAATGTAAAGTTTAGGAGCCAAAGAAAAGAAATATATTTATTTGTCTTTCTGATGTTGACTTAATTCATTTTCTCTAGTTGCATCCATTTTAGATATTGCAAGTGTAATTTTTTCTTTTATTTTTTTAGGTCATAATATAATTACATCCTTTTCTCTTTCAAATCCTTCCTCCAAACCGTCCCATAAATGCCTCCTTGTTCTTTTTCAAATAAATAGCCTTTTTCATTAATGTTGTTACATTTACACACACATACACACACACATCTTTATTCATCTTGCTCGGTCTGTGTAATGGTACTTGTGTGTATGTTTTCAGGACTGTCTATTTGCAATTGGATAACCATTTTATGTATAGCACATTTTCTTTACCAAGGTTGGTTCTATAACTTAGCTATTTTGAGTAATGTTGTAATAAGCATTGATGTAAAATTATCTCAGTGATGTATTGATATGAGTTCTTTGGGTAAATCCCTAGGGTACTATGTCTGGGTCATATGGGAGATCTATTTCTAGGTTTTTGAGAAACCTGTGTGCTGATTTTAATAGTGACTGTACTAGTTTACCCACCAGCGATGTGTAAAGGTTCCCTTTTGTCCATACCTTTGCCAGCATTTATTTTTCTTTTTATTTAAGATTTATTTTCTTTATGCTCATGTGTGTGTGCGCGTGCGTGCAAGCGTGTGTGTGTGTGTGTGTGTGTGTACAGATACCTAGAAGCAGGCATCAGGTCCTTTGAAGCTGGAGTAACAGATTTAACTCCACATCTGCTTGATAGGGATGCTAGAATGCAAACCCTGATAAAGCAGTAAGTATTCTGAACTGCTGAATCGTATCACCAACTCAGTTTTCTTTTTAAATTTTTTTCAACAAAATTTTATCCTAATTTAAATTACAAAGTCTGCTAGATTTTTTAATAAATTCATTTTTCTCATGAGAATTAAGATACTTCTATGACATTAATAAATTAACAACTGTATACTTCTCTTACCTTTTTAATAATTCATTTTTGTGTGTTTGTGTGTGTACATATGCAGTGTGCCACAGATAGAGCATAGTGCACATGTAGAGGGCAGCTTTGGGGAGTCTGTTTTCTCCTATCTTGGGGTCTGGAGATTGAACTCTGGTTGTCAGACTTCTATAGCAAACACTTTACTCACTGAGCCTGCTCATTGGCCCTCACACATTTTTTATTTTTAAAGTGTTAAAAAAAATCAGATAACTGCTTTAAGTAAAATTCAACCTTTATAAAACAAGAAGAAACTACTTTCAATGTAACCATATGAGTGTGTTAAATGATCAACTGTTGAACTTGGTGTTTACATTGGCTTGTTTAAAGACAAACCAGAAAGTCTGACCTGCCTTCGGCTCTCATACATTAGTAACATGCAGTGCTTTCTTTGACACACCACACGCCCACATCTTCCTTATGAACGCCTTTAATGCTACCCTATGATTGCCAAGGTGGAAGCTGTTTGTTGTTTGACATTCTAAGAACTAGCTTGGCAAGGAGACGTTCCTTCCATTTCGTTGTAATAACTGTTTTCACACTAAATCCAAACACACAGCACTAGACCACAAACTCCAGAATGCTTAGCTCTGCCTAGCCTACCTAAGGGATTATTTCAAGATCAGAGTAATTTTTCTATTTCTATTAGAATCATGAGTTATTTTACACAGGTTCTAGTAAAGACAGCCTCACAAAAATTTTTGGACTTCATTTAAAGTAAACAACAAATGAAATATGTCTGTGTTTTCTAGACTTGTGCACCTTGAAGGAGTCCTCAAGTCTTGCTAAACCATCTGTTGGAAGGCTTGTTTTACTGGCCAATGAGTATTTAGTTAGATAATATACTAAAAATAATTATATAGATGTCTTAATTGCTATGTTTAATTGACACTGGCATACTCTGATGAGTCATTACTTGTGATCTGCATGTCACCAAAATAGTCAGGTATCTTTCTAATAACTTTATATATATTACATGTAACACAAATTCTAATTGTTCTTAATAATAAAAACTTGGAATCAGATATTGGGGTGAAAACTGAGAGATCAGAGAAGCAGTGCAGCCAGCCACTAGAGGGACCTTTTACCTCTACCGAACCAAAAGGGCGATCCTGTCCTCAGACTGCCTCCTCTGACTGCTCCTCACACTGACTGCTTCAGACTGCATCCTCAGACTACACTGAGCTCTTGTCTCCTCCTGCCTTATATTTCTCTCTCCACCCAAGCACATCACTCCCGTCTCCACCTCCCTAGCGCAGGGATTAAAGGTGTGGGATCTCAAGTGCTGGGATCACTTTTGTGTGAGCTCTGTTTCTCTTTTAGACTGGGTCAAGTTTATGTAGCCCAGGGTGGCCTTGAACTAACAGAGATCCGTCTACCTCTGTCCCCCAAGTCCTGGGAGTGTGTGTGCCACCACTGTCTGGCCTCTGTGGCTTAGCTCTGCACTCTGATCTTTAGGCAAGCTTTATTTGCTAAAATACAAACAAAATATCACTACAGATACAGTCTTAGAAACATTGCTTGTTGAGGTGAGCAGAAAAAAAAAGTGGTAAAAATTGGTTACCTTTGAAAAATATGTTTAAGTTATTTATTACAATTTGTATGTGTTTGTGTGGGTGCGTACATACCACAGTGTGCATGTGAAGTCAGAACAATTTCAGAAGTCAGTTTTTTTCTTCTGCAGTGGGCTCTTGGGGCCAAGTTTAGGTCATCGGGTGTTCACGGCTGTCATCTTTCCCCTTCGAGCCATCCCACCAGTTCAGTTATGTTTATATATTCATAACTTGTAGAGGACTACCTTAGTTATTTTTCTTTTGCTGTGAGACATACCATGGCCAAAGCAACTTATTAAAGAAAGCGTGTAATTGGGAGTTTGCTACAATTTCAGAGGGTGAACCCATGACCATCATGGTGGGGACCATAGCAGCAGGCACACACGGCTCTGCAGCAGTAGCTGAGAGCTGATTACACCTTATCTGCAAGTTGGAGGCACAGATTGGGCCTGATGTAGGCTTTTTGTTTGTTTGTTTTGCTTTTGGGTTTGGGTTTTTTTGAGACAGGGTTTGTCTGTATCTTTGGAGCGTATCTTGGAACTTATTCTATAGATCAGGCTGGCCTTGAATTCACAGAGGTCTGCTTGCCTCTGCCTCCTAAATGCTGGAATTAAAG